CACTTTTACGACCACAGTTTTCCACATAAGGACGGCCAGGAGCTAGAATCAACCTCCCCCTCCCTCCCCTTTCGCACATCTGAAATGGTAACTGGTGTAATTCCAGGAAAAGCAATTTTCCTGGACCAGGTTCCACCCACTTCCTGGAACAAATCTGATACCTCCCCCCATGCTCTGTGAATTAAGCTCTTTCCTTTTTGCATATAAAAATGGTTTAAGCCCGCAACGGGGGCAGGAAGTCAGACCTTGAACGAGACAAGCCACTTCCTCCCAGCACCAAACACCTAACACCAGTCCCTTCTAGGTCAGTGTCATGGCTGTGAGAATTTCTGCTGCTGCTGCTGCTCGTGTGGTGTGTGTGGTGTGTGTGTTGTGTGTGTGTGTGTGTGTGTGTGTGTGTGTGTGTGTTTTGTGTTGTGTGTGTGTGTGTGTTGTGTGTGTGTGTGTGTGTGTTTTTGTGTTTGTGTGTGTGTGTGTGTGTGTGTGGTGTGTGGTGTGTGTGTGTGGTGTGTGTGTGTGTGTGTGTGTGTGTGTGTGTGGTGATAATTCATTCTTTGTACAGTTTTGTGACAAAACTCCCCATGGACAGAGTGGCTCCATGATTAACCTAGGGAGAATCCACACATAGCTTTAGAAATAGGTATGGCAGACCTACGCATACGGAGAAAAGTGAATCTTCCACCACACCTGTCAGAGCAGCATGTAGAGGGAAAAGTAGGGAGTAAAAAATTAAGTGTGTGGATAATGGGTAGTAAGCTCAGCGTGCGGCACAAAACACAGACGAACTATTCAAGAAAAGTGAAAGAGCTGAAGAAATGAATAGCTGAAGTTACCTTCAGACATCATAGCTATCACAAGACACAGCTGGGCTACATGATATCAGATGCCATATTTTCCGGTAGGATATCAAGTTGATAAGGAAAGAGAAAACAGGGAGGTTGGGGGGGTAGTACTGAAATCAGAAATCAGTTCGAAAAAGGTAGAAGGATGAGCAGAGAAGACACTAGACTTCGTAGCAAGCTTAGTTAAGACTGGGGGACCCAAAGTAGTAGTTGGCGATTACAACCTGACACCTAACAACAGGAGATCGAGGTAAGAAAACCCGAAGACAACAACAAGGAATGATTGACATAAATGAAGAAGCTATAGTGCCTACAGAGCCAATACAAAGCCGGTCATCATGAGGGATTTCAGTCACAGATAGACTGGGAGAGCTGGGAGCCTCTTGAGGGACGGAAACATGGAGAGCTAAAGGTTTATGAACGTGGTCAGGGAAAACTGTGTGTCAGCATGTCAAGGATACGACTAGAGAGAGAGAGAGGGGGATGAGCCAGCAAGACCTTACATAGTATTTAACACATGTCAGACATAGAAGAAATAGAATACAAGAGTGCCTCTGAGACCCAACGACCATGGCCAGTGTAGAACTTCAAGTACCTTGTGGAAAATAAATGTAGAGGGAAGAATGATGAGTAGAAGAGAGTGAGAAGCCAGACTTTAGAAAAAGGAACTTTGCAGAGATGAGGAATTCCTGAATACAGTGCAATGGAAAACAAAATGTGTGGGAGATGATGGACGAGATGAGGAGTACGTAGTTTGGAAAGTGCTGGGAGGCAGAGGAAAATTTATACCCAAGAGGCAAACAGGAGATAGCAAACAGAGCCCTTGGATGAGCCGGAGATGCGGAGGCCAAATAAAAGTAACGTATACGAATTTGTAAAAAAAAAAAAAAAAAAAAGTGACGGACAGACAAAAAACAGAAAAGTGAGCAGACTAGCCAGAAATGAATATACAGTTGTGAAAGAGGGTGAGAATGACATTGCAGCAAGGCCAAGTCTGAACCAAAACTGCTTTACAGCCACATCAAAAGACAGACAACAATGAAAGACCAGGTAAAATTTGAGTCAAGAAGGAAGGAAGGAGGAAAGCTTATGGGAAATGGCAAGGAAATCTGTGAAATGTTGAACAAGCAATTCAATGAGGGCTTCTCAGTGGACACTAGAACAATGACAAAAAGCTTAGGGGAAAAAAGGGTAAAACCAGCAGATACTGTATACCATACATAAAATACGGGAAAATGTATAAAAAATTTGATGGAGCTGGATACATCCGAGGCCGTGGGACCCGACAGTGCAACATGGGTTCTACCACAACTGAAGCACTAAAATCAGTGATGCGCGGACAGTTGCCAGAGATCTGTAAAGACAGCAAATGTAGTCCCTATATTTAAGAGATGAAACAGGTTTGAAAGCGTTGAACTACAAAAGAGTTTCACTGACATGTATAACTTGCAACGTAATGGAGAAGATGGAAGGAGAGTAAATAAGAGCATTTGATGAGAAGTGCTTTCACAGAACAACAACCAACACGGGTTCAGAGACAGTAAATCTGTCTTACCACCTGATGGAATTTTATGACAAAGTAACGGAAGTGAGACACGAGAGAGAGGAATGATTGAATGGGTCTTCTTAACCTGCAAAAAGTTATTTATTGTATTTCCCCAAAAGACTGGAGCAAAAACTTGAAGTCCAGACCCGATAAAACAGGGAACATACCCCGGCATATAAAACTGCACCCCGGGGGGGAAGCAAAGAGTGATTTTCCGAAAGGTCGTCCCGAATGGGAAAAGTCCCAAGGGGGGGCCCCCGAGGGGTCGGAATTAGGACCAAACATTTCTGGTTTATGTGAAAGGACAACCAAAAT